TAGTGGAAGTGTTGTGTGTGTTTGTGCTTGGGTACATTGAGAGGGAAAAGGTTGAAAGAAGAGAGTGAGAGAGTTTAAAGATGAAAAAAGAAAGTTTGAATAAGGTTTAGAGAAAAAAAGGAAATTTGAAAGAAGAGAGGTACGTTATTCAAGAAAGGAGAGAGGATGGTAAAGGTTTAGTTTAAAAAAAAGCTTTTAAAAACATTAATAACTAGGTTTAAAAAGGGCATCTACTAAGGCAAAGCCTATTTGGTAAGCACATGGCAAAAAAGTGAATAAAAAAGCATTTAAACTATTCAATAACAGTGTAGGTTAAGAAAAAGGAGAGGTTAAAAGAAAGAACAGTGCAAGAAAAGGGAAAAGAAAGCCCCCTTTGCAAAGGGCAAAGATAGAGATCACATGGTTGAATCAGAGAGCGAGAGAAAGAGAGAATACTTACCTTTCCAGTCTTTCTGTAGAATGAGGCAACTTTCCTGGTTTAGAACCTCTCAGACTTGTTATCACCACCTTTGGATCAGACCAATCAGAGTTTGTTCTACAACAGTGTCCTAGAATTCATTTTCCTGAACCAATCCTAGAGTCCCAAGATTTTAAACAAGAGCCATTTTCCTCCTCTTTCCCACCCTTCCTCCCCCCCCCCCTTTAACTGTCTTATTCTTATCTAAAGAAACAGACTCCCAGCATATTTCCTGCCATGTAGCCATTTTACATAGGGGTTTTTATAAAAGTTAAAACCATGAGCTTTTAGTAACACACAATTTTAAAAGTTTTTTCGTAGGTTTTAGACTAATGTGTTATTTTTTAGTAAGCACAATATGAAACAACAGGCTTTTGCAGCAAAACTCCTGTTAGCAAAGCAGCCTCTGTGAGTCAGTAGATCACAGAGGAGTTTGCTTCTTTACCTGCTTTTTAACAAACACATGTTAAAGTTACATTAAGTTTTGCAAAGGAATAAAGCTTTGCTTTATAATGACTTGAAAAGACACAGCCCTTTTGTATGTGTTGTAATAAAAAAAAAGCAGGCAAAAGCACCCCAGGGTTAAACCCTGAATAAGAAAAAGTTTTCCCCCAAGGTTTTTAGTGAGAAAAACTTGAAACAGCCTTTTGAAGGTAGTGAATTGGAAAAGAAGAAAACCCCTTTGAAAAACAAGGCTATCTGAAGACACATTCCTTTATTTAACCCCCTTGGTGTAGGTGTTTCAATAACATGTGACCTTCAAAAACAACCCAGGGTTATAAAAGTAATGTATACCGATAAAAATGTTTTCCCCCTAAGTTTTAAACTAGCACTGGGCATTTTTTAGTAAGCACAATTTGAAACAATAGGCTTCCACAGCAAAGCCATTGTTAGCAAAAACAGCCTAGGTGATCAGAGATAAGAAGGCCAGAACATAACAAGAAAGCCCTAGGCCTGCTTTTAAAACAAAATGATACCAAAAACTTGTATTAGAAAAAATAATAACTTTAACTGTAAATATGCTTGCTATGTAAAATAAAAACTTTTTACAATGAAAGTTTAAAAAAGCTAAAGTATGTAGTCAGAGACCCTCCCGCCTTTTTCCCCAGAAAAAAAAACAAGTAAGGGCCCCCCCTGCTCTGCTCTTATCTAAACAACCAGGACCTTCTTGGTTTTTTTCCACTCTGTAACAAAAGCTGGCCAACACATAATATAAACCATTTTAATATGTGTTTTTAAAGTAATAACAATGTAAAATAATAAAAAGATAACCAAAAACAACCCTCATGGCCTGTAAATTGTGCAAAAAGCTTTAAAAGCCAGGGTTCAGTTACAACCCATGCCAACTGTGACTTTTTAAAAAAGGGTTAGAGCATAATATGAAAAAAAAATTAAAACCCACAGTAAAACACAAAACACAGCAACTTTTTTAACAATGTAAAATAAGACTTGTAGGGGTTTTTAGTAATAAGTTTAACAGGGATTATTTTTAAATGAGCAAACTTGTTTTAAAAAGCCAAGGACATAACATTAATTAAAGAATACAGGTTGCAGCTTTTAAAGACTTCTGGTTACAGAGATGTTAATGGGTATATTACCATTTACAGTGTATTTTTATTAACTGTTTAAACACATTCACTATAGAAAATAAGAATTTTTTAACCATTAAAGTTTAAAGAAGCTAAAGTATATAGCCACATGCCCCCCTCCCCCAACACACACACCTACCCACCTTTTTTCCTAGAAAAAATGACCTTTACACACCCTGGTTTTTCAAAGAAACTCCTTTTTAAATATTAATTTTTAGGGGGCCCCAAGACCTTTTTTTTCAACAGGTTTAAACCTATAACAAGGGACAGAAAACTGGACAATGCTGTCAAAGAAATATTGCTGATACAAGACTTCTACCATTATGGGGAGCCACGACATGGTAAGAAAAGTTACTTTGGTGTGTATCTGTCTCTGTGTGTGCTACCATGGTGTTATACCTGCGTTGTGCTTAGTTAAAAGGTAATATTTTGTCTTTTAAATAGGATGAGGCCTTTTTTCTTGACATACCAGATTCTGCACTAGAATGTTTAAAGTTTGGTAAGCTAATTAATATGCTACACAATTATGGTTTATTTTTAAAATAAATGGTTTTAAGGATTTAATTTTTTAAATTTAGAACAAGATGGAAGTCAAAACCAGCAGATAGGTTTTCCTGAGATTACAGAAGATGGTATGAACTGTTTTTTAAATACGTGTTTGAAATAACTGTTATTGGAAATAGTGTACATTTTTTAGGGGTTGTGCATTACTACAGGTATTGGGGTTTATGTTTGTTGTTGTTAGTAAAAGAAAGAGGTTGCCTTTGCCCCAAAGGTTTTACTGTAAAAAAAAAAAAAGTTTTACTGGACTTGTTGAAAATTTGGTGCTGTAATGCCCCCGTGTGGCGTAAGCGAGAAAAGTGCTTTATTTTTTTACATTGTATTTAAACACAGTTTTTTAGACCCCCTTACAATAAGAACAGTAGTACCGGGTCAGACCAAAGGTCCATCTAGCCCAGTATCCTGTCTACCGACAGTGGCCAATGTCAGGTGCCCCAGAGGGAGTGAACCTAACAGGCAATGATCAAGTGATCTCTCTCCTGCCATCCATCTCCATCCTCTGACAAACAGAGGCTAGGGACACCATTCCTAACCCACCCTGGCTAATATAGCCATTAATGGACTTAACCACCATGAATTTATCCAGTTCTCTTTTAAATGCTGTTATAGTCCTAGCCTTCACAACCTCCTCAGGTAAAGAGTTCCACAAGTTGACTGTGCGCTGCGTGAAGAAGAACTTCCTTTAATTTGTTTTAAACCTGCTGCCTATTAAAGAAAGAAGTGTTTTAGCGGGGTTACATGTAAATGTTTTTGAAATATATATATGGGGGACATATTTGTTGTTGTTAGTAAAAAAGAAGCTGCCTTTGCATCAAAGGTTTTATTGTAAAAAAAAAAAGTTTTGCTGGCAGTTGTTAAAAATTTTGGAGCTGTAATGCCCCCGTGTGGCGTAAGCAAAAATAGCACTTTATTTTTTTACATTGTATTTAAACACAGTTTTTTTAGACACCCCCTCCCCTTACAATAAAGAAGTGTTTTAGCGGGGTTATGTGTAAATGTTTTTAAAATATATATATGGGGCTTATGGTTGTTGTTGTTAGTAAAAAAGAACATACAGGCTTATGTGCTAAAAACATTTTATGTGTATTGGCTGACTTATCAAGTGTTATCCCTCAAGAAGAAATGTTGAAGGAGAGCTCACTTAAAGGGGCCAAAAAAATTTCCCTCTGAATTAGCTAAAGTTGGAAACAAGGGAATCAAACCCCTCAATTTTGAACAACCCTGCACAACCAAATCCCTTATTACACAGAGCCAGCTACCTTTAAAGAAGGGCAAAAAATTTCCCTCTGAGGCAGCTGCAGTTGGAAACAAGGGTGTTAGACCCACTGATTTCAAACAGCCCTGCACATCCAAATCCCTCATTACACAGAGCCAGCTGGTCTTAAAAAGGGACAAAAAATCTCCCTCTGAAAGAGCGACAGTTTCCCGGGGTGGGGAAAAGGAGATCAGACCCCCTGATTTTGAACTGTCCTGCACCTCCAAAGCTAAGAAATCTACCTCTACAGCTTCCAGGAACATTGGTAAGTGATGCAAAGGGGTCAAAGCCCCTAGTTCTCAACAACCCTATGCCTTCCCAGCCCAGAAGGAATTAGCTTTTAAAAAGGTAAAGGCAAACAATCCTGTAGCAGCAACCATGTCCATGGGTGGGTTAGGGCAGGGTGAAGGGGTCAGCCCCCCTGCTTCTGGGCCCCGCAGAACCCTTGCTACAAATAACAATCTCCCCGTAGGGCTTGCTGCATCAGTTGTTGTTAGTAATGAGCTGTTTAGTGTTTGTACATCTCTTAAGCATTTAATAGATACAAAGTTTTCGAAGCTAATTCTTGAGGTGTTTCAAAAGCAAAATTTTCCAGAAGAAAGGGTGGTTTTAGACCAAAAAATAACAGAGACCCAGGCACTGATTGAAAAGGTGGAAAGCGTGTTGAAGGGGGAAGGGAGGGGGTGACTAAACATGAAACCTAAAAATGTAAAGAGGGGTTGGGGGAAAAATGGAAAAAAGCTAAAAAATTGAGAAGGCTTTTGGCCAAAAAAATTTTAAAAGCCAGAGCTATTTTTAAAAAAATCAACCCCCCAACCAAGAAAGGGAAATAGACATAGACCCTCCGACCTCCTCTTCGGAAGGTTCAGATTCTCCCGCTCCTAATACACCTCCTCAGGTATATTTGAAACATTTGAGACACTGGATAAGACCCCAAAGAGAGTTTAATGCTTATGAATATTTTCAAGAATTTTGGTTAACTAATTTGGACAGAGTAACGGGGTTCACAGAGGCCATGGCGGCCATTGACACCGCTATTCAAAATTTGCTGGATGATATTAATAATCAGGTGGGCCCTGAAGATTTTGTACAGCTACGCTTAGATGCCCCGGGGCTAAATCACCAGCTCTTTTCTTTATGGAGGCCTTGGGAAGATTTAAACACCGTAGATTTTTTAAATAACATCATCACGGTGTTGCAAAGTAACGCAGAGATCGTGGGGTCCGGAACTCTAAGACCGGTTGTTACGATTATTAGAAACAGGGCTGGTGGAGGTGGGTCTGTAAGACCCTTAAAAACTATCACGTACAGTAGAATCATTGAAAAAAAAAGAAAACATTTAATTGATTTAAATAACCAGGGTAACAATCTTTGTTTTCCTGGTAGTGTGCTGGGTCTCTTATGAGATGAAAAACTTACAGATGCCCAACTGTTAAAGGGGGCCAGACATCTCCATCAGGAGTTGGGGCTTTCGGACCAAAAAATGATTAGCTTCACAGACGTGAGCTCTTTTGAACAGCGCTTAAGCGTGGCTATCACCGTCATGTATCATGAAAATGGAAATTGGCGCTTTTTTACAATGGATGGTGTACACCGCCCCAAAACTATTTTTGTTCTGTTACATGACAAACATTATTATGGCATCCTAAACATTAAAGCCTTTATAGGAGCACCGTATTTGTGCAACTACTGTTACACCACGTACAGCCACAAACACCAGCACGCTTGTAAAAACCACTGCCGTACGTCTAATAGCGCTGAGTACCTTGAAGTGGTCAATGAAAAAAAGAGATGCCCCAGTTGTAAGCTATTTTGCAGGTCCAAGGCCTGTTTAGAAAGGCACAGCCCCCTGGCAAAAGATGGTAAAGTTGATTGTAAAAACAGAAATCTTTGCAATAAGTGCAGCTTTTACGAAGTTAAAAATCACAAGGGGAAAAGCAAAAAATGTCCCCAGTGTTATCAGAAAACCGACAACATAGACGGTCATCAGTGTTATATGTGTAATATCTGGTCTCCAGAAGAGGGGAAGGATTATGTGTTTTATGATTTTGAATGTATGCAAGAAACGGGGGTACACGTGCCAAATTATGTTTATGCCATGCATTTAGATAAAGAAACTAGCTGGGAATTTAAGGGGGACGAATGCATTAGCGAATTTGTTCGAACCTTTGTAGACAAGCGCTTTAAGGGATACACTTTTATTGCTCATAACGCTAAAGGTTACAACTGTTATTTTATCCTTAGACAGTTGATTAAAGAAAAAATGGCTGTTAGCCCCATAACGCAAGGTGGAAAACGTATGTATGTAATGGTGGTGGACTTAGACATCAGATTTATAGATTCTTTAAATTTTCTTCCCATGTAATTCAGCAAGTTACCCAAAGCTATGGAGTTTGAGGAAGTTAAGGGATACTTTCCACACTTTATTAACACCATTGAAAATCAGAACTATGTGGGGCCTATGCCCGGGATAGAGTACTTTGGAGTAGAATACATGATGCCTGAAGAAAAAAAGGAATTTCTGAACTGGTATCAACACAATCGCCAAAGCGAATTTGATCTCCAGAAAGAACTGCGCTATTATTGTCAAAAAGATGTTGAAATTTTGTGAGAGGCTTGCAACCGGTTCAGAAATGAAGTCATAAAAATGACAGAGAAGCAGATTGTTAAAAACCCAGGACAGGATAATGAGGAGTTGGTTACTAAATGTATAGACCCCTTTCAGTACCTTACATTAGCCTCGATTTGCATGGCCATGTACCGGATTAATTTTTTAAAACTGCAAACCATAGCCCTTCTTCCCTTAGACAATTACCACAAGCAGCAGAAGAGATATTCCACCCCGGCCATTCAATGGTCGATGTACGTAGCCCACACTGAGACCATTTACATCCAACACGCTTTGCAGGGTGGGGAGTTTAAAGCAGGGTCCTATTTTTTGGATGGTTATGCCGTCATAGCAGGTAAACCTACGGCCTTTGAATTTAACGGCTGTTTTTTTCATGGCTGCCCCATCTGCTATTGTGAAAATGATTTCAATCCGTTGCTTAATGCGCCCTACGGGCAACTGTACAACCGAACCATGATTAAGGCTGAATTTCTAAAAAGACAGGGCGTTGAGGTAAGGACCATGTGGGAACACGAGTGGCAGGCTATGGTAGCTAACGATAACCGGGTGGGAGATTTTTTACGAGGAAAAAAGCTGCCACAGCCTTTGGTTCCTAGAGACGCCCTTTACGGTGGTAGAACAAACGCCATCTGCCTTTATTACAAACCGCAGCCCAGGAAGCAGGTTCATTACTATGATTTTACCAGCCTCTACCCTTTTGTTAACAAAACTAAACAATACCCTATGGGGCACCCCGTTATTGTGTATGAGGGTTTTGAGGATATCAGACAGTACTTTGGCATCGCCAAGGTTAAAATGTACCCTCCGAGAGGTCTGTATTTCCCCGTATTACCATACAGGGTCGATGGTAAACTAATGTTCCCCCTGTGCGCCCTTTGTGCAGAAACAAGACAAAAGGATCCCTGCATGCACGTCAGGAGGAGAGGGCTTTAACAGGGACTTTGTGCACAATAGAGTTGGTGGAGGCTTTAAACAAAGGGTACAGGATCGCTGAAATTTATGAAGTCTGGCATTTTAACCACTCTTCAGATGCCCTGTTTTCAGACTACATTAAAACACACTTGAGACAGAAGCAAGAGGCCTCGGGGTTCCCTCACTGGTGTATGGACAAGTTAAAAAAAAACACAGTACACTATAGAGTACTATGAAAGAGAAGGCGTGTGTCTGTATCTAAACAAGATAAAGATAAACCCCGCAAAAAGGCAATGCCCAGACATGTTTCAATATGTCCAGACTTGTTTGTCTTGTCGTGAGTTTAAGGAGGTGCATCAATAAAGCACATGTTGAATTTTGTTTACGTCTTTTATTTTACACAGTTAACCATTCGATTTTTCGTTTTTTAA